GGATAAAGACAACACAAAAAATGAGGAAGAGACATTAAGAATTGAGGCAAGGTTTATTGAATCTTAGGGCTCGTAAAATCCATTCATTCTTTTTATTATGATTTAGAACAGAAACAACAATCGCTTTTGTATGAGCCATTACATTCAGACCTTTTCAGGGGTGCTGAAAGGAATTAAGAATTTCTCTAAAACTGAAGAATTCAAGAAAATGCGCTAAAAATCGTGTCTATTTTATTTACCCCAATCCACTACATCCCTGGAGCTTTTGCATATTTCCTTAATTTATGGATACATTTAACAATACAGCATGTTACATGGGTTATATAACACTGAACAGACATTATTAATATTACTCTATTTTTACGACATAATTCTGATGAATCATTGGAATTTTTCTGTACCTTTACACGTTCCTGAAAAGAATCTTATTCATGAGATGTAGAAAGTCATTTTGCCTCATTTGAGCGTGTCTTAAAATTGTAATCTAGAGGAATAAAGTGCGTTGTACTGTATTGTATGTAAAGAATTATGCACTTCATAAATATTTCTTCTCTCTGTTCCCGCGAGCATGCAAGCGAATGAAAAGAAAGAAATTAATTTTCGCATCGCTAGTGGAAGAAATAATTGCGAAATATTTTAAATTTAAAAGAAGCCATTATCAACATTGTATTTTGTGCCTCGTATATGCTATGAATTGGATTATCTTGGTGTTATTTTTAGCACTTTGGGTAGCTTAGTGTCAAAGTTGATGCTTATTCTTATTATTTTTGCTGTTTTTCTGCCACAATGGCTCTATAAAGGCACTCTTCCATGTCTCTGGAGTTTGTCATTAACATAGCGATTTGATGGTGCTTTATTATAAAGCATGAGCCAATCTTGTAGAAAAAATTAGGGTCTGACACCCTTAATGACATAGATCTAACCTGATTCAATTAATATTTGTAGCTATGAGCATAGTCAAAGATTATCCTCAATTTAGTAAAGGCCCGCTAGTTTGTAACAAGATGTCTAGGGAGGTCTAAAAAGTATGTATGACACTGCGCTATATGCACTCACATCCTAATTGCCTTCCACATTTCTATTCACATGGAGCTTAATTTTTATCGCAATTAAAATAAGTGAGCAAAAAAGTTCATTCTTTCATTATTTTTTCATCACGACAGCAATACAGCAAATGAATGTGTGAGTGTGAATTGAATACGGTACCGAGACAGATATACGGACATAATTATAATAGTTTTGATTCACAATGATACTATGTAATGTATTGTATCTTTATTTGTAGACACTAATCACCTCATATTCAATATTTCTCGTCTTATAGCCATTTCATCGGTTTTAATGGTATAAACGATATTTTAAACAAGATACATTGTTAAGTGAAATAATAGGATAGGCGATTTACACAACATCTCTTATATTTTTTCGCATAATACTTGGCATTATACAAAATGCTGTTTAATTTCTATTTAATTTATGATAATGGTATGATGGGGAACGTTCATAAATGATGTTGAATTATTAGAAAGTTTGTGGGGGAGTCTGGTCCTTTGGGATTCTTCCAAGAAGGTAGCTTTTAAAAATCGCATTTTAGAAAGGACCTCATTTATGAACGACCCCCTTTTCTATTTTATCAAAATATCTCTTATTGAAGATATCAAAATGCGATTGAGTTATATCCACGATCTGTTTTAATGAAATGGGCAATCGATGAGATACAGAACGGGGAAATAACAAAAAGCTATTCATTAATGATGCTTTGCTTATCTTAATGCTACTAATTTTGGAGCAAAACAACATCATTAAATATTGAATCTATGGCAGATTATAATACCTATTTTCTATTCTCTATTCTATTCTCCTTATTCAAATTGTTTCTTTGGAAAAGTATTTATTAATGAGTTGTTTGTGATAACATAACATGTGTAAGCGCTGCTTTAGTCTAAATGAGAGATTCATACGTCTCTTAAACACTATAAAATTTATCAAATTACCTTTCAAATTAATCACTGTTTACCTTTTTAGCCAGAATACATTCTTTTGATAATCAAAACCCTTCGTATCGTAAAATTGAAATCATGATATGCTTTATAATTAAGGGGCAGTTCACTTATTACGTTACGCAAAAAACCGACTTTTTCACCCCCCTTCCCCCTTGTTACAACATGTTACAAATCACACCCCCCCCCCCTGAACGTTCATAATTCAAATTTTTTTCGTGAACTTTGTTTTAAAAGACAGACGACAGTTAGAACTTTACATTCTTCTTGACACCCCCCCCCCCCCCCCCCCTATGTTACATTTTGTTACAATCTGTTTTGAGGTCTAAAAAACTTGTTCTAGGTTGAGTGAAAAAACAGAATTGAAGCTTTTCAAAAAACTCGATTTTTCTAGAATTTTTCATAGGGGGGTACAGGGGGTTCAGTATCACGTTGAATGCATCTCAGCCTTTAGCAACTTTTGTCTATACATCACTTTTATGTTCACATCTGTTTTCAGGTCTAAAATACTTGTTCTAGGTCAAGTGAAAAAACAGAATTGAAGCTTTTCAAAAAACTCGATTTTTCTAGAATTTTTCATAGGGGGGTACAGGGAGTTCAGTATCACGTTGGATGCATCTCAGCCTGTAGCAACTTTTGTCAACACATCACTTTTATGTTCACATCTGTTTTGAGGTCTAAAACACTTGTTCTAGGTCGAGTGAAAAAACAGAATTGAAGCTTTTCAAAAAACTCGATTTTTCTAGAATTTTTCATAGGGGTGTACAGGGGGTTCAGTATCACGTTGGATGCATCTCAGCCTGTAGCAACTTTTGTCTATACATCACTTTTATGTTCACATCTGTTTTCAGGTCTAAAACACTTGTTCTAGGTCGAGTGAAAAAACAGAATTGAAGCTTTTCAAAAAACTCGATTTTTCTAGAATTTTTCATAGGGGGGTACAGGGGGTTCAGTATCACGTTGGATGCATCTCAGCCTGTAGCAACTTTTGTCAATACATCACTTTTATGTTCACATCTGTTTTCAGGTCTAAAACACTTGTTCTAGGTCGAGTGAAAAAACAGAATTGAAGCTTTTCAAAAAACTCGATTTTTCTAGAATTTTTCATAGGGGGGTACAGGGGGTTCAGTATCACGTTGGATGCATCTCAGCCTGTAGCAACTTTTGTCAACACATCACTTTTATGTTCACATCTGTTTTGAGGTCTAAAACACTTGTTCTAACCCCCCCTAAAATGCGAACGTAATAAGTGAACGGCCCCTTAAGAGTTTCTTGATTTCTTAATAATTTTTTGACTTTTGACTTGTAACGATTTTTTTTAAATTTTAACTCAAAACCATACAAATTTTGTTCCAAAACCATACAAATGTTTGACTTTTCAAAAAACTTTTAACCGTTAAAAATTCAAATATTTATAAACTGTTAAAAACGACATGCAGCAAAACTTTGACGAAAACCTGCTGAAAATGTGAAAATGACTTTTCCATTAAATCTTTAATTGAAGTGTTTTCGTCTCCCTCCTTCATCGTCACTCATGCTGTGTGTAACAGTTTGAATGAAATTAAAATTTAATGGAATTTCCATGAAAGAAGAAAGCAAAACGATGTTTTTCGACCTCAGAAAATTCTTACCATTCAACGAGTTTTGCATTAAATTTCTCTCTCAGCTATTTTATTTATTTTCTGTGCTGATGAAATTCAATATATATTTTTTGGAGACTGTTATGTCATAATATTAAAGACGGTAATTCTATCGCATTTTTTTTTGTGCTGATTATGGGAAGCTATCTAATATCAAAAAATTGATTCCATCCAGCATGTTACGTAAATAAGGAGGAAGAAAGATTTCTCATGAAGAAAATTGCTACATAATCATGAAATCACAAAAATGCTCGTCTTTTTTCCTCAAATTTCTCTTAGACTCAAAGAAAAATTTCCTACACGCTTCCTTCAAGACTTTTAATTTAACAAATTATGCCTCGATGTGCTTTCATTCATCATAGAAACAGAAACCTAATTTAACTTCAGACTTATTTCCTCTTCTTGTTGATTTTTTTGCGTGATGCATATCAGCGGAAAATATGAGTACTCGTGCGTTTAATGTGTGTGTTTCCACATGATTTGATTGATCTATTCTGATAGTATTAAATTTGAGTATTAAACGACTTTTTCAATTTTGAAACTAAACTGCAATGAGATGAACATGTGGATTACTGAATGAAACTAAAACGTTACAATTTTGTTAAAATTCAAATTGTAAATAACAGTTAGAATTCAAATAATACAAAACCGTTAAAATTCAAAGATTGAGGACAGTGCTTACTCAGCTCTTAAGTAAAAGTAACAAACAATGTTGTTTAAGGAGGCATTAAATTCAACAAGATTGTCATAGAAATTTAAAAGTAATTAAAATAAAAAATTGCGCATCATTTTGTGTTTCCAAGTCAACCAGCTTTTAAAACTCGTAGAAAAGCTCATATCAACTAAACATGCAAAGAAGATTGAGATGGGGTGAAAAAAGTACAAAAAAAAAGAGTTTAAAAAATCACATCATATCCTCATCTATCCATCCTTTTTTTCATTGTGTTTTGAAGCCTTCAAGTTTACGATCTCAATAATTCACGATTATCTTTCACTTTACATGAAATTTATTCATTCGTGCAAAATTTATTGAGATGTGCGTGAATAGGGCGAATATATTTCATTAATTTCAACATACGCATAAATAATTCAATAAACACATTCATAAGCTTATTAATGGCACTAGAGTAATAACTCGTCATGCTCGATCGAGCCTTGTTTAGTCGTGATTGTAAATCTTCAGATTTTGTAATTGATTTTTGAAGTTTAAATTTTGAATTTCGTTCAGTAGTTCTAATGTTTGTTCCATTTCCGTCCAGTTTGAATTTGATAAAGTCGTTAAAATTTGAATTCGAAATGACAGTTAAATTTGTAGCTGCAAAAGAACATGTTGAGAACACACAAATGAGGAAAGCTATAATTCATGATTTTTAATGCTCTTTATTATTATTTAAAGTTTTGTTTCATAAACATGTAATAATATTATATTTAAAGTTATAGATTAATAATAAATTGATATAAATTTATGAGAGAAATTAACGGAATTGAAGTGGCGAAACTTTAAGTCCTAGCACATCTTTGCCAATTTCAGCAACACCACAAACCTCACATTTGTATCCTTTATACTCTGGTATGTAACAGGCAGCACACAATGGACATTTCTCTTCAGGCTTACCACGATAAATTGGCTTATAAGTAACTGCACATAAACTAAACGGATTATGTTCATCATAAAGTAATTGATTTTCATCAGTAGGTTGAGTTTCGCATGCTTGAAGCATCTTTCTTGCTTGCTGTGCTGTATCATTTCGCGGTCCAAGTTCAAGTAAACGACGTGCGAATGATGCAGCTGTTTTGTAATTCTTCATTTTAAAGAACATATTTAATGCCGTTCTAAGCGTGAGAATTTGATGAACGGGTTGGAAATTACAATGTGTGAAGTATGCTGCTAATTCGCATAACCGTTTCTGCTCCTCTAATGTGTTTTTCGGTAACGTCTTTCTGTGTGTTTCCATTTGTAGTCCAACAACATATTCACGACAAATGTTCATTAATTGCTGTGCTTCTGCAATCTCTTGTCTACTCTCGACGACCAACAATGGAATATTTAGAATTATATATTGGAATTTCTCGATAGCTTCTGTGAACTTTCCGGATGTAGTTAATTGATAGCATGTCTATAGTTTTAAGTGGATAAATAAGGCAATAATTAGTAACAACTTTGAAATTTAACGATCGATACAAATTGAAAATGTCAAGAAGTTTACCTGTAAAAGTGCGACCAAGTCATTCAATCTAACGCCAACAGTTGGATGTCCATTTTTCAGTCCAGCTTCTTTCCAATTACGATGTGGATTTGTGAATTTAGATGGCAAATTAGGTAGGCATGAATATGAAGTTCTGGAACCGACAAATAAGAACATAAACAATTTCTTGTATGGCTCAAAATTGACCACGCCAACTTGTTCATTCAAAATTCTAAATGCAGTCTCAAAAGATCCAGCACGAATGTGATCAGCAGCAAGTAAGCTTCCATTAATCCAAATTTGTGTTTGTGGAACTCCTTTTGTTGGCGCAGCAAAGAAGTTTCCGTCCTTAACATCAGATTGAGCTAATTTATTTGCTAATTCTTCTGGCAATTCAATGTCATCGTCACCAACATCCCATCCAGCGCCTTCACCTTCTACTGTATCCAAAGCATCCTTCATTTCCTCGTTATCTTCATCGTCGTCGTCAAGTTTCAAGTCAGCATCGTCCCAACAACCTTCAACTTCAGTATCAAGCAATTCTGTTGTAGCCAATGCCTTTGAGACTGTACCTGCCTGTTTCGACATTTGCTGACCTTCAAAGAATCCACGCGATACCGTAAGTAGAGGCCAATTAGATTCAGCTTGTTGAATTGGAAGTGGACCTTTAAATAATTTCGCATTTGGATTTAAAATTGGCAATTCCTTGCCTTCGGCTTCAATTTGTTCAGCCATTTCACTTGCCTCGTGATCTAGACCGTGCGTTGCGGCCGTTAAATAAGCCAAAGACTTTTGATTGCAATTTTTAAGAATATTGAACCTTTCTTTAACATCACCGAGCATTAAAGCTCCTTGATATTGAGCCGAAACATCCTTTCTAATTTCAGCAATCTTATTCATCTTCTTTAATTTTTCAAGATTTCCTGTTATTAAATACAGGAATGAGAGCTTCTCAAAGTTCTTTGTACGTTGATAGCACATTTCAACGACTTGATGATTTCCTTGCATTAATGCCGCTTGACTTAATCTATCCCAACAATCTTTATCGTCTAAGCTCTTTGCTGATTCGAGAGCTATTTCAATATTACCGCATTCAAGTGCTAATCCAAATCGTGTCTTCTCGTCTTTAACGAAATGTAGGGCAACTTCTGGATAGCCTTTTTGCTGTAAATATGCAATGATACTTTGACCAACGAGACGTGCATTTCTAACCATATGTAGGACTTCTTCATATTTACGATTAATTAATGCAAGTTTAAATTTATATTCTGTTGTGTCGATATTCAGTACACGTGTACGACATTCACGATCCAGGCAAAAGACTTGATTTCCTTTAACTCGAGTAATGTAAATTGGTAAGTCTAATGTTCTTATAATTCCATGATCACCATTAAGGATGGCATACTTAATATGATTATTTGTTGTGTAGATAAAGACACCAGAATCATCCCAAGCACCAGACTTTACTCTTGTACTTTCCTGAATCGTACACAATGATTCTAAGCGACGATTACAAATCATAATTGTATGTTTTGAGAGCAGTGCTGCATGTGACATATCAGCAGACCATACAACGTATTTACATTTAGTAATTTTAACTTGTGCAAGATTGCGTAACTGCTGAACATCAAAGAGCGTGACATGATCTGATTCACGAAGTAATAACATTCCAGTTCCTGCATAGAAAATCTCGTCACATTGTGAAGTTTGAATTTTTTTCGTGACTTCATTCTTTTGATTTTTAACAACTAATTGACCTGATCTATCAAGAACTGCAAATCTGTTCCTTGCTACCCATAATGCAGTCACTCCTGATGATCTCTTTGAATCAACTTCTGAATTTGATTCGGAATCTTTTGGGATATTATACAAGTCATAAGTTGAATTTTCCATATTACTTGTTCTTGTACATAAAAGTATTGAATTTAATGCTGGATTATAGGACATCGAAAACACTGGAGTTTTTCCACCTCCTCGAATTTGCATGACAACAGAATCTTTTGTCGTTGTGAAATCCAATTTGCGTAAAAATCTTTCCTTGATGTAGTACAAAATATTTCCATGAACAGCATATGCAGGACGTTCACGTTCGAGTTTAAAAACAATCATCCCATTGTCGTGACCTGCTGCAAAGAGATTTAGTGTAGGATGGGCAGCAAGAATCCAAAAACGTTCATGTTCACGACGGAAAGTATTTAGACATTGTCTCTTTGTCATATCCCAGACTCGAATGCTTTTATCCTCACTGTTTGATATAATCAATTCTTGACGTGGATGGAAAAGAACGCATGAAACATTATTGTAATGTCCTCGACACGTGTCAACTTCCCATGCTTTATACTCATTCATGCGCCACAATTTTATTTGACGATCATCAGCTCCAGACACAACGAGTGGAAGTGTTGGATGGAAATGAGCCCAATTTACTCCTCTATCATGTCCCTCAAGGACGTGCTTAACAACTGCATCAGCTTGACCAAATAAGTCAGTTGACGATGGATTCTTTAAATGATCCTCTAAGCCTGAAGGTCCTGGTGCTACATTCTTCTTTCTCAATCCTGAAAGGACAATGAGACATGTTTAGTTTGGATCTTATTGACCATTTTTAAACCACAATTAAACATCAAAACTGTCAGCGCATTTTCCAAACAGCATAGATGAGAACCTTACAAATGTTTAAGATTTAAAAATAATTTGTATGGTTTTGACTTTAAAGAAAATTATACGGTTTTCAAAATCCGTTATTTTGGAATTTGCTGCTTTCTTAGCCAGGAAAATGCGCTTTAAATCGCCCTCTAGTTGTTAGTCAATGTGAAAAATCAAGAACCAAATTAGACTAATATTTATATAAGTACTTGCAAGCAGAATAAAAACTCCCTGAAATAAAAAGTTTGTGATATTTACAATAATTTTCTTTCGTTTCAAAAAAAGTAAGCACGTCACCAAGTATTATAAAATTTCAAAAAAAAATAAAATCTTAACTATCAAACGATCAAAATACACCATTAATGTGCCAAAAAGAGTAAAATAATCTCTAATTTGGTTCCTACCTTTCATTCCATCACGAGCAGCGACACCTAAGAATATTAGAACATAAAAATTAAAAATAATTCTGATGTGGCTGCTGATCAATCCATTTCAGAATGATTTTTTCATGATTTACCGCAACCAACGAGGACAAAACGAGTAATAACGAGAACTTACCTGAAAAGTCCCAGATTCGGACTGTCTGATCGAGGGATGCTGAGACAATTGTATCGTCTGTTGGATGGAATTGAGCACACATGACATAGTGATTATGTCCAGTTAAGACGCAGATGCATGTACGTGATTGCCAGTTCCAAATACTAAAAGATTAAGTTCCTTAGAAACAGTCAAGCATGTAAGTTAAGCTTTTAACATACCGAATAGTCTGATCATCTGAAGCACTCAATACCCAAGGATATTCGTGATGGAAAGCTGTTGTTCGAACATAATCTAAATGTCCAAGAAGTGTGAAAATGCATCGTTTCTGTTTGTAGTTCCAAACTTTAATTTTGAAGTCGTCACCACCGCTGACGAATAATGGTTGCTGGTTGTGAAATGCAATGCCTCGAACTGGACCGTCATGTTCATCGAATTTCTCCAATAATGTACTGATTCTATAATCCCATAACTGAATAACTCCGGTATGTAAACTGTTTTGATGAATTAAAGCATTAAAAGATGAGGTAAATAATGGAACACAAATTTTATTACCTTGCAAGAATCCACGGACGTTTTGAATGAAAGCTTAATCCTTTAACTCGAGCTGATTTAGTCTCAAAATTCGTCAACATCTCTACAACGCTTTCTTATCTAGCTATTCCAATACTTTTTCAATTAAATAAACACAAATTAACAGCGAAATATAATAATTTTATGTTCTTCCGACAATATTTTATCTGAGTTGGCAGCTTTCAAAGGGATAATAACATGGAAATGAATTGTTCTATGCCTGCAACTTTTTAACGACTTTTTTAAATTCAAATAATTCAAATGAAAAGTTACCGAAAAAATTATATGTGATTAGACAGTTCTAGACAACATGTCTTGAAAACAGATTGTACTGTAATCAAACAATAAAGCTATATTACATCTCAATCATCTATTAATAAATGCACGATTAGAAAATTGATAAAAATTGTATGAAAGCGGCGAAGCTAATTCGTGTCATTGACTAAGCATCAGAAATTTGGCTTCAGATTTTTAAATAATTTTCATCAAATTAGAAAAATTATGGGGAAAAAGACAGGAGTTTTCACAGAAGGTGAATTAGTGTATGCAAAAGTTAAAGGATATTCACCATGGCCAGCAAAAGTGAGTAAGATCGTATAAAAACACTTTTTAGAAAAGATCCAGCACCGGAACATTAAAATTATAATATACGCATAAAAATGCGATAAAAAGGTTAAAATAAGCTTGATATGACGATTTACATTATAACTAAAGAGTCTATTAGTGAACTATATAGAGCAATTGATTAAAATTGCGTAATTAGAATCATTACTGGATCTTAATTTTTTTATGTGCATCTTATTCTTTATCTTCAAGATCACAAAAGTAATATCGAAACATAAATATGGAGTGTATTTTTATGGAACAGGCGAGACAGGAAACTGTAAGAGTGAGGAACTAGATCCATATGACGATAAGAATCGAGGAAGATTTAATACAGATCGACAAATGAAAAAACCTGACTATAAAGAGGCAGTAGATCAAATAGAGTTAGCGGCAAAAGGAAATGATCCAGCACCGATAATTCCAGCAGATGATTCAAATAAACAAACTATAAGCAACGAGGAAGAAACGATTGAAAGGATGGAAGATGTATCACAAACTGACGATTTCGATCCAGAAGAATCTCAATTACAAATAGCTGAGGAAGTTCCAAAATCTACACCTGTTCCTAAAAAGATAAAGCCGGTTAATAAGCCAAAAGCCGTATCCACACCTATCATACAAAATTTAGAATCCGAGACAAAAGAGAATGAAGAAAAAGTCAGTAGAAGTGGACGTAAGATTAAGGAAAAGAAAATGAACAACGATGAGATGGATCCAGATGAAGTATTCTCACAACCGCGCAAGCGCTTAAAAGTTGAAGAAGTTCGCACTAATCAAAATAAACCTGTTCATGTACAGGATTTGGATGATACAGCCATAAATGACTTTTGTATTAGTAAAATGCATATCCTTCAAGATCCAGTAAGAAAACAATTCCTAATGACACAATATGATATGATAAAGACAGTTCAAGATGTTAAGCAGGCATTAGGCCTTGATGATGTGGATATGGATCGAGCATTAGATTCGTGTAAAGCACTCAATGATAAGGTTGTTCCAAACATTACAAAATTTATGCTCCAAAAATATTCAAATACTGTTGTCACAATCAAAAGATTGAGAAACTATATCGGTAATGTTGAGTCATGGAATTTAGAGGAGAAACAGCTTATCGAGTTCCAAGAGAAGGCAAAAGAAATTCGCGATATTGCAAGCGAAATTTATTCATCGTTAAAGGTAAACAATCTCTTTTGGCATAAATTAACTGTGGATGTGACATAATGCCACTGTCATATATTACAGAAACTGTTCCCGGAAGCACCTGAAGATTCATCTTTTTGGCAATTTTACACCGATCAGCATAAGCAGTTTCAAGAAAAGTACAATAAACTCGATGTAACTGAAGTGTTTGAAGCTTTCAACGAGGAAGGTTTGTAGACTAGCTTTATATCCCGGATAAAGTATCTTAAACATTATTTTTTAATCCACAGAACTAGACTTATTTTTAAATAAATCGACAAATAATCACGATGCAGAAGTTCCACAGCTTCCAGACACTGCTCAAATGGACGAGCAGGAAGCAGAACACGAAGACAATATGTCACAATAGTCTCGACACACAAGCTGTAATAATATTATTAATTAAATATTGTTCAGAACTTTAAGATTATTCTCACCGATGAGATGAATAGGAAGGAGAAAATTGAATGCACGAAACTTTGTTTAAAAATTGACATGTCTATTTACTTTAACATCTCCTCATTTTTCTTAAAAATAATACTTTTTTTTTCCTTAATCGTTTTGCATAAAGTAAGACAAAAAATCATGCAAATACTACACTAAAAATGGTCAATTTATTTCACTTTCTCTGCTAAAAACAAAAAAATGTGAATATTAATATAATATGCGTCACATGGGGATATATCAATTTGTTTTTTTTTTGTTTACAAGACACTCGGCAAGAAAAGAAACTGATTTTCATATTTTTTACGTTGTATAATATAATTCATTAATTTTTAAAGGAACTACCTATGTTGAATTTATAACAAAAGCATGTTTTTTTTTGCAAGAGATGAAACACATAAAGGAACTGTAATAATAAAAACGAAAAAAACACATTGAACAGCAAGATTAAGTTACAACTTGAGAGGATTTAATTGATAAGAGTTAATTAGTTTTTTTATTCTCAAAATGGAATAAATTTAAAATTTAAAAATAAATAAAGCATTAAAATTAATTTTATGATAAACGGAAGTGCATATAGTTTTTGTGGACTTCCAGATCCGCCTTATGTCTTTTTGGTCTCATTCTTTGTGTCTTCAGGAGCTGTTTTGCTTTCTACAGCTGCTGGCTTCTTCTCGTCATCACCAAGTCCTAAGAATTCTGTGATAATTTTGATACCTTGATCAGCTGTTCTGCTAACGACACTAAGGATATCACCGACTCTAATACCACCAATTGTCTCGTCCTCTTCAGTTGGTTCTGGTGTATCAGTTTCATTAGTTTCATCCTTTTCTTCCTCTTCAGTCTTCTTAGGTCCTTCAATCATTCGGATTTCTTGTTGATTCAAATCAAAGCATGGAAAATCAAAAGTCACTGGAGATTCACCGAATATTTTTGGTTGCATTGTGAGACATCCAACAAGACCGTTATTTGAACTTGGAATTAATCCATTGAATTTTGAGCACATTTTAGCAACTCCTCCCAACATTGATAAGCAGACGGGTTCTTCTGGTTTGTCAGTCTTGATTGTTGCTGCTTTTGAGTATGACTTTCCTAATGTAAGATTCATATGAACACCTTCGGATTGTGAGACATATCTGATCTTAACACATGCTGGGTCAAGTCGGAAACTATCAGAGAATTGGAAGTCCAAACAGCAAACGCAGTTATTTCCCTCAGCATTTCCTTTTAAGCACACGCAATCATTCTCACGATCACGCTTTTGTGGTGCATCGTCTTCGTCGTCAAGTGAAATGAAATCTTTATTATGCCATAAAAGAAAGAAATGAGAACATAAATCCCTATAAAATCACAATGGGGTCATTGAAATGGAGACAATCTGAGGCGCAAGAAAAGTAGCACTTGATACTAATATTTAACAATGAATCCAAAAATTTCCATTTCAATTGACAAGCTTATTTATTTTCTTTAGCGAGCCGTGACTTCTTCATGGCTTTATGGCTTGGTTTGTGATAGAAAGTAAAATTTATAGTTTTTAATTGTTTGTATATGCAGATATCTCGCGCTTTTTGGTTTATCACTTTCTATCTGTGACTTTTTATCACAATGATAATTGGATATTATGAGAATCTATTATGGGATGGTTCGGAAATTTCTATATATTAGAGATTCTATTTAGCACTTTCGTGTGAACTGCTTATGTTTGTAATCTTGTACCAGGCTGTTAATTGTGTATTTTTGGGTCTATATACAACTGTTTACTTTTGAAAATTTAACGGTTGAAAAATATTTGAAATCTCATTTTAAAAGTTCAACTTTTGAAAGAAAAATCTCAGTAATCTTGTTGAATTTTAAGAACATTTAAAAACTTTTCGTGTGCAATTTTGATTCAGTATAGTTTAATTTTTCTTGACTTGATGCTTAAGCAATCAGCTGTGATAACAAGTTAATTTTGTGACAAAATGGATCTGCGGCCCTTAAGTATCAGGTAAGACTATTAATGATACTGTTTGATCTGAAAAAATCTGGAGTAGGATAAGAGCCATGTCAGTTAAGTAATGTTGGGTGCGTCAGTTCTAATCAACTTGATTTTCTTAAATGTTTGTCTGTAATGCTTAAATAATTCAATCTCAGGGAAGATAACTCCAAAAATCGTTAATTTGATTTTGAACAAATCTCATCTCTGTTAAAAACTTAAATTTTGTACTGCAAAACTTTAAAAACTCTTTTCAATACTCTTTTTTTAAACATATCAACAAGTATATAATTCATGACAATTAACAGCGATCGTAGAAAAAGTTAGAATGATAGAAAATCGCAGGAAGTAAGCTGAACAATAATTTTCAAGAACTTGATTTTTCTCGCAAAAATCATGTATTTGATTAATGAGTAGTAGAGAGTAGAAGAAAATGACTGTTGGGACAACACGTACATGAAAAGTTCCATAGAACATTAAGCTGTTTCTTTTATTAAATATATTGCCTTCAAAATTAAAAGAAATTGACGAAATCCAAGATTTAGACTATTTTATCCATTTGAAAATAAAAGGCTTGTCTCGAGCAAGAAGTCGGCATTAAATAGTGTTGAACTAGATCTTGAACGACTTAAAATTTCTACCAATAAATCAGAAATCTTATTGCTATTAAAGTCACGGAGTATCGCTCGAGAGTGAGACATTTCTTGAGGTCGTAAAACAGAATGACACACTTTTTTATAAGCCTACACTTCTTAGCTTAATAACCGAATTTAAAAAAAAAACTTCACTTTCTTACCAAGAATACCACAATTGGCAATTATAATGAACGATGAAATTAAAAGGATGAAAAAGTAGTTGAATTTCATTTTGGTCTCTTTATGTCACTTTATGTTAAATTTATTGATACTTTATTTATTTGCTAGTTCCTCTTGTAAGTTTCAGTCCGTTCAACAGTAAATCTCGTCAATAACTAAGCGCAATCTTTTGCTTCGATGTGTCTTTAGTTGACTGTTTTTTTCTTTCCTTTTCTTTCTTATTTTATTCTCTTTAACTTTCTGTGCTTCTCATTTTATTTATTTTTTCTTCTTATTTTTCGTTTCTTTCACAATCAAATTTCCTTTGAAATGGCATGATGAATCTTTAATTGATATATAAACACAATAAAAAATGAGACATAAAGTATAGAGTGAGAGAGTCAGTGCCAATTTGAACGCGAATTCATTGAACACAAAATTTTCATGCATGCTCTATCGAATGGATCTAAATTCAGATAAACACACACGTGAAGACATGATCGCAGCATATAAAATAATGTGGGAATAATTGAAGTGAGTCATAGCGTGTTTATATTAAGGCGTGAGAGACACATTTTGTTATCTTGGAGAGAAAGTGCAAACAGAACAAGATGAATGGCATTGAAGCTGAAAACCAAAACTGTTAAATGCTTCTTTTGTTTGCATGCTTGTCCAAGCAACGTGCAACTGATGATTTCTTACTTATTCTACGACGCAACCATGCGATAAACGATTAACGGTACTACTGCTGAAATTTACTGCCATTTTCTATACAAGATATCTTGTATATACATAGAGAGTATTGAGTAAGAAAAAGTAGAAGTCTGGCTTGCTGCTGCTCGTTATGCATAAGCCATTTATATTGAAGCTTTCCAATATTTATTCTAGAAAGTGAAAAGCTCAACATTGATAAAAGCTTTTTGATAATTATTTGGATTAAACATTCGATAAGCATTCGATCAAAACAATGGATTTAACTTTAAATGTTGAGATTAGATCACTGCAAGCTTGAATAAAGTATAAGTTAGAAAGTTGTTGTAAGTTTTCCATTCAATACTTCATCTCTGTTTTAATAAAGAATTTGATCTGAAATCTTAACCAAAATACCAAGGGTCAGACACTCCAACAGAATTGTAAAGATTGTACAATTCTTCACAATCCATATGGAAGAATTGTAAAGATTGTACAATCCTTACAATCTTTATATGAGAAGGATTGTAGGGATTGTAATCCGTACTTTCCATATAAAGATTGTAGGGATTGTAATTCTTACAATCCTTTCCATATAAAGATTGTAAGGATGAAATAAATGTAAGGAACATTTAAAAATGTTTTTCATTGGTTATTAGAGAAGAAATATTAATTTAATATTAAAAATTTATTTGTTTGAATTTAAAGAACGAAATAAGCTTGATATGTCAATTTTATCCGTTGTAAAACTACGCAGATGGTCACCCTAAACCAGGGTGATTTAAATCAAAAATCAAATTCAAAATCTTTTTGCAATGATTTAAATCAAAAATCAAATTCAAAATCTTTTTGCAATGATTTTAAAAAAGGATTTTGATTTAAATCATTTTTTCAAAGGGATTTTATTGGAATTTTAAAATCCCTCCATGTAAGATTTTTGTTTTCAATTTCTCAGATTTTTTTTCAAATCAACAGTTTTCAGTTGCAGTTCCTAATAAGTAAGAATGCAGTTGATCCTTTTTTGGCCTGAATCTTGCAACTGGATCTTTTAGATCCAAATATTTCCAATGGTTCCATGCTGTTTGACTTAAACGAAATCCAATTTTGAGTTTTAATCTTCTGTGCCTTGCTGCTTGCATATAAATAACTGGACTTCATCAAGCATGCCTGGATCTTACTCTATATGAGGATTTACCTGCTTTAAATCCTTTAAAACACTTAAATATCTTTTATTACACCACATTAGTTTAATGAGTCATAAGCAAGAATAGGCACTAGAACCGCCTAGTTCCTTTACATCCACAAAAATTTTTGTTTTGTTGCTTTTTCATCAAGGATTCACCTCTTGAAATAGCATGGAACCATTGGTTGCTGTAATCTTTCTTTAAGAACTGCTTGGATCTAAAAGATCCAGTTGCAAGATTCTGGCCAAAAAATGATCAACTGCATTCTTACTTTAGGAACTGCAACTGAAAACTGTTGATTTGAAAAATAATTTGAGAAATTGAATACAAAAATTTAACATGGAGGGATTTTTAAATCAAAAATGATTTAAATCAAAATCTCTTTTAAAAATCATTGCAAAAAGATTTTGATTTTGATTTTTGATTTAAATCACTCACCCTGTTCACAAGTGTAAAAATTATACTTTTTACAACTTTTTAATGAGTTGAAATGTATGTAAATTATTGCATTTTAAATATAATTGTTTTCAAAGAAATTTCTGACTTTCTTCATTTTTTGTATTTTATCTTATTTTTTAAAAATAAATGGACATTATTTTTTGTTTAGTAAGGATTGTACAATCCTTACAATCCTCATATAGAAAGATTGTAGGAATTATATGAAAATGATTGTAGGGATTGTAAGGATTGTGCAATCCTCACAATTCGTATGGAAGGATTGTACAATCCTTACAATTCTGTTGGAGTGTCTGACCCTTGCAAAATACATTATCTTACCTAGAATAAAGTCAGATTCAAGCGATATCTAAAGATGTCAATGAATTATTAGTGTTTTGATCTGTAAATTTAATACATATCCAATTCGATTCTGAAACAAATGAAATCTAATTTTAACACATATCGAATTCGATTCTGAAACAAATGAAATTTAATCGATTATTACCTGATCAATCTTTATCTGTCTTATTTTTAATAAATGTCTGTGAAACACTCAGTAGTAATTTTATTTATTTATTTATTTTTTAAATAATTTTTACATAACAGAAATTGTCTATACAAAACATTAGGTTTCATCATTTGCTTTTTTTAAATATACTTAAAGTTTTTTTTTTATTTCTTGCTAATTGTGATTCTTCATTTTCCTTCTGCTTTCATTTAATTTTTTTTTCTTTGATTTTTATTAAAACTTTTATTCAATGTTTCTTATATACTGCGCCATATCGCCTCGATGAAATGCATTTTTTTCATATATTGAATTAATATTTTTTTTTCATCAAAATTAAACTTCAAATATTTTTTATATTTTATTTAATTTATTTCAAAACAAATTTTTCTTGTATTTTTGTGAGAGGTTTTTCGAGTAGTGCTTGATTGCAAATAAAGTCATGCTGTTTGTGGTGGTTTCTTGTGGATTCTAGGTCTTTTGGCAGTTTTTGGAAGTTTTGGCAATTTTTACTTTTGAAATCATAGAAGATGAGTTGAATGATTGCTAACAACAATGTTAACAAACGAACAGTAGATTGGTATGGCAAATTAGAAACATGTATAAATGATCTGGATTTTCTGAATCAAAAGCTTTTTCAACCTTTTTTTTTTGTTTGACGAATTCTTCAATTATTCTAAATTTTAGTTGTTCTGATAATAAGAATCAAGCTGATATCAATCGTCCATATGCATAACATTGATATTCCTTTCATAATTCATTGGACGATTTTGGCAGGACATTAAATTCATTAGAAGCTTAGTGATCAACAGAACTTCCTATCAGCTCAGGTTTTCTATGTATTTCAAGGAGATTCATGATGTTCAAATTGTCAATTGCGATAAGATTTTTCAAAATTTTAAATTATTATGCAAAGCTGCATCTTATATGTTGAAATAATTCACATCATGAAATCCAAGATATTGACTACCAAACTCTTTCTCAATCTCGCACAACTCGAAATCTCTCATTACATCCATTAATGCAATTTGATTACATTAATTTTCATATTTAAAACAAATGATGTAGCCAAAGGTCTTTCAAATCTCAACGTTGTCATTACTTTTTTTTTGTTATAGTTTTTACGAAGATAATTCATTTATTTTTTATTTTATTTAACCCGTGTATTCAAATTTTTTTATGACTTCAATCTTCTAAATGTGTTTTCATTTTACTTTTTTTTTATATTTTAAATAAATAATTTTTCTATGTGATCTTTTTGAGGGTGGTGCACAAATAAAAGAAAATCTATTTAACCAACTTAGATTTTTCTTATATTTTTCTTTGAGGTTAGTAGAAAAAAAAAGAAATTAATACACACTAATTGATATATTTCTCATCTTCATCAACATCATCAATAAAAAATGAACTGAATTTCGATAATTTTCTTTTAACTTTATTAATTCATTTTTTTTTTATTTATTTTCACAATTCTTAAACTAAGTTAGATTCAATTTCATTTGTCTGTATTATGAAATGTAAATACCTCTTTTTACTTTATTATACTTTGTTTTTAATACGACTCGAAGTTCACAAAACTAAGAAGACATTAACGAATTTTACACAATGTATCATCAACGTTTAGGAATTTGGGCAGTGATTAAGATTTTAATGTTTTTTTTTCTCTTCTCATCTTTCTCCTCTCATCATTCCTACATTCTTTGAGATCTTCTTATTAATCATAAGCTTTTCTAAATATATTTGTTATTTATTACTGCTTTTTTTAACTGACTATAGAGTAAAAAGATGATTTTTTTTCTTTATGAAATGAGTGCCATTGACTTGATGGTGTAAATAAATCAATAGAAAAATTATTGGAGCTAATTTTTTATGAAAAATATATTCTGTTGTATGATTTGACACAATCCAATTATTATTTTGGCACTCAGTTATTTTTTTAGTAATTTTTTTTTTCTTGTCTTTATCATTTAAATGAAGTTATATAGTTGAGCATCGAGGCGAAGAAAGCTTATTTTGAATGGAATTCGGAAGAACTTTTGTGTTTTTTATTTGGATGAGAATTGATTGATTTTGATTATGGACGATAAAACTACTAATTTGAGCTTTAACATAATTTGAGCATATTTTAAACAATTAAAATGGAAGGTTCTTGATGATTAGTGTGAAATTTATAAATTAATCGGAAGATCTTGGATTTCATTTTCACATCGTCTTGATCTTCAAGTTTTTTTACGTAACTTAGGAAGTTTTTGCATAAACTGCTTATCTCGGCGATCAATTGTAGCTTTTACTAAAGATCACAATTGTAATTAGATACAATCTTATATTTTTGAATGGTTTGATTTGTCAAATTTTGTGCGA